GTCAAGTGCTGATTTGTGCTCCACGTCATTCCCGTTGATGGGTAAGATGGCATTGCTAGAGTCAAGTAGCTGAGAGAAAGGCAAAGCAAGGGCTTCAGTGGTCCAGTAGGTAACACGTGAAGCCCGGAAAGGATAATCACGAGTTCGAATCTGGCCTGGGGTCTAGATATCGTAAGTATATCGGCATCATTGTGATGGTATTTCACACAATACCCTCACGTGAAAAAATAGTAGGCTGTAAATAAGAAACTATAGACTATCAAATAGTGTTCCTATCCTCCCAAACGAATGTGATATCAATCTACCGAAGCCGGAAAGGCCAAATTGACATGCACTCTACTTAGCCAAACACTTTCATGATCTCAGCAGACAAAACTCGAAACATAAATATTCATTCGCATATCAAACAGCATCTTTTAAACACCGACCGCTTTGTTCTATTTAAGTCCTCCAGTTACTTGGTAGAGGCCAGCCGCACAGAGTATTACATGGACGAGGAATGTGCCTGACTCAGATCAGAGAACGAGCGTGGGGAATGGCACTTGGTCACACATGATCGCAAAATACTTTTTTGAATTTTTGGAACTAATGCAAAACGCTCAAAGAGCTTTACGAGTTGATGTTTTCGATTACTGTGTGAGGGTAGTGAATTTTACTTCAAAATCTTCTCCGTTGTGTTTTTGCATCCTGTGCGGACCTAGTGGAGTGCTTGATTTCGATTTAAATTCACCGTCTAGGTGTTCTTTTACGTGGAAGTGGTCTACCCATTTCGCCAATGTATTCGTCCGCACACGCTTTACAAAACATTAGGTACAGATGACCTGGTGATTTTGTGGGCATTCGAGCGTCAGCGATTTATATTTCTTTCAGTGTTCTTTGATGAAAAGTTTGTTTTCTTTGTTAGAAAATCAACGAACTTGAATTTACATCCTGACCGGCAGCCGTTTGTCATTGGTTTTGGTTTTCTAGACTATCTTTATTATTTCATTTAACGTTTTAGCAAATCTGGGTTAATTGGCTCATAAATGTATCCCAAGGGTTTCCATAATGAAGTAGAGCGTACTCACCCCGTGACACTCGTCGTCTCCTCGAAATCGAAAGTCGTCCAACCTAAATCTGGGTCAACTTCGCCGCTTTCCATTGTTATGTAACACGGTCGCCGTTCCGACTTTCTCGCCAATTGGTCAACTCGTCCACAACCAACAACGTCATCTTTACTCGACTTTGCAGCAAACCTCGGATTACAGCTCAGTTCAATTTTACTTCCGGATAAACTTGTTACTCATTAAGTCACAATGATCTGCGCGCTCATCACTCTTTCCTGTGCTCTTCAATATTAGGTTCCCAGTGTCTTTTATTGAGCAGTGATTTTTTCAACTTATTTCTTTGTTAAATGACTTTTTATGTTCGAATTTCAATCACTTGTTGCTCATGAACAACCTCGACTTTATCAATAAATTCATGTGTTCTTGTTAAGCTGAACTGACCCGGCGTCAGTGAAATATTTATTCCACAATTCACTACAACATTCCTCACTCCTCTTAAGCTGACGCGAGGTTGGTACAGGTCCTCGTTGTCGTTGTTGTTTTTGATGTTGTTGTTCGATGGCTGACGTTTCGGCGACTTCACCTTTCTCAGAGCCGTGGTGTTACGTGTGGGAAACCTGTACCAACCTCGCGTCAGCTTAAGAAGATTAGTTTATAAGATCATATAAATAAATATATCAATCATCTATGCCGTGGTTAATAGAAAGTCGGTCTTTCGAGCTATTCCTCACTCCGTTAACTTTTTTTTTTGCTGCCTACTACAATTTTCACGGCAGGGTATTATGCGAAATACAACCACGATGATGCTGGAGGACCCGGATGGTGTAGTTGTGAACGCGTTAGTCTCCGGAAAGAGTAATAGCGCGTTCGTTCTTCACAGCGGACACCTACGATCCCGAGTTTTGCAATTATCTTACTTTTTTGCATGGCTATTGTTGTTGTATTCCTCATTCCGTCCGAACTTCATATAACTACTAGGCGTATACTACTATAACATATAACTACTATCCTACTAGGCGCACGAAAAACAGCTGTGAAGAAAGCGAAATCTGCCGAAAAATTGAACGTTGTTAAATAAAAATTGGTACACATGAACTTTAATAATTTGTCTGCGCCGTAGGATTCTCGTTAAGATCATTGAGCACTGGAGCTTTTATAGTGCAAGCCTCTCAGTCGGCCGTGTGGATGTGTGCTCGTTGGTGTGTCATCCATAAAACACCCATGGCCAGCAATCATTTCAGATTCGCGTGCTCCTTGACTCGTACACCTCCAAATGTAATTACTAAGAACAGACTACGACATTGCTTTCTGAAATATGCACGTTGATTTCTTCATCATTTTCGTCTTTTTCACAAAATCTGGTACTGCAGGTGGGTGTGGCGTTGTTATGGTAATTACGAACAACACTAAGAAAAATGAATGAATGAAATCTATGTACCTGATAGATAGGGAGGGGTAATTCTTAGTAACTGAAACAGAACTGAATAAAAAAAACGCAAAAGCCAAGAATTAGAATTGTGGAGTGGTCAGTGTTCCAACCTATATACCTTGCTATCATAGCCCTTGTTGAACCGTCCCTAGTCTTCCAAACGGTTTGTTGTCTTGGAACCGTTAACCATGCAGGTGATCAGAGTTGTGTTCGGGCTGGTCTGCCGTCCGCTTGAGAATCCTTCGCCTTCCATCTAGTGAGCGCAGATTTCTCTAAGATCCCGAGAATGCCGTGCCGTGTTGTTCTCATGTCTTCGCCACATGTTACCGCAGGCTGGTGCGAAACGAAATGAATGAAGGTTGCCTTGAGTCTCGAATTCTTCCCAGACGATAGCGATCTCTGCGAGTATCCCAGTTGATCGGCCAACTGAGGACGATGTTAAAGGATAAAAGGATAAAGCCCTCGGCGTAGATCAATCCTTGAGGGATGCGCCATGCATTCGACTTCATTAGGTATCGTTGGAGGTGAATGAATGCATTATCTGGCCTTTACAATGTTTCGCAGTGGCCTATCGTTGTATCGAGCCAGTGCTGCTATCCCCCAGACAAGTCTGGCACCCATTTTCCGACCCAGGAAGAATGGAAGGTTTGGTGGGCCATAGGCGCGGGGATCAATTCCACGTTTGTGTCGCAGTGGTGCCTCCAACCAATGCGCCACAGGCGCCCTTGAGGACAGTGTTGCACAAGCGAATGTTACATCTACCACACCTCCTAATACTATAATTAAAAAAGATTTTTAAGCAAATCCGTTAAGAAGCATACATGTTTTTCTAATAAAGCGTTGATTATTTTTAATACTTAATTGCTTTATCCTATAAGAAACGCTAAGACTTTTTAGGTGCGACGTTTAGTTTTGTGATCGAAAACTTCATTGTCATTAAAGGGAGCGTTATAGAAGAATTCCATGTACACAGTATGAGTGAATGTTCCCTTCTTTGCCGAATGGTACGTTTTTTTTACCAAGCTAATTTCGCATGCCTTCGTCATATCCTGCTAAAATCCGGTCCAGATCGCTAGAATTCTTACACTGACGGATTTATCAAAACCTAGGATTATCTATAACATAATGATTGGTCTCAACAAGGCCTGAGTGGTCTGGTGGAATGGATTTTTGTATGTACAGTATCGTTTGAAATTGGGTGCGAGCAGCTGAGTGGTTAGAGGTGCCTTGGAAGAAACGAGTCGTCTTCGGTTCTATCCTAATCTTTTTTATATAGTTCCAGTACTAAGTTACAGTTCTAGAAAAATTGTGGAATTGCATAATCAGTAGTACTTGATACTTGATACTTGAATGGCCCGTCCTCACTGGTTGTGCGGGTTCCAGCATAATCTCCACTTTTCGGAGATTTGCTGAATGAGCCATTGTGGTTCCCTAGAATCCCGAGGTCAGCCTGGCTAAAGTCTGCCCCAGGTCTTCACCAGCACAAGCAGTCGCAGCCCTTATGGATCAGAGGGACATTGGCCACCATGCGACTTTGATACCAGGACGGTGGTGTATCCTGGTATTGGTTTACTCTTAGCTAGGCTTTCTGATGGAAACACCTTCTCAACTTGGGAGACCCTGCCAGGGAGATGACACCCCCGCTGTACATCGCAATCTGGCAGCCAGGAGCACCTCCCAGCCACGATGAGGCGGTAAAGCGTTGGAAGGACAATCGATAGTAGGCATTGATAATTTCAGTGGTGTTTAGAAACGGACATTAACATAACAATATGCAATATAATATGTGATACCAATATATTTTCAGCGTATCGATTGCGATGGTTTCAATTATTTGATCGAAAGTAGTGAAAAAGCTCACTGTCTTTTGATGAACGGCAAAAAGTCAGAAACTGAGGAGCAGCTTCCACATCCTGAAGATATCCTCTTCGCGGCCAGGAAAATTTCTCTGCATAGTCAGTATTTATTTTTATTCCTCCTCTCTTACAGCTGACCAAGTAGTAAAAGGAACTTATTTTTTGCCATATTTTTTTAAAGGAACACTTAGAGTTCATCCTGCAGTAACTGCCACGACCGACTTTCTATTAACCTCGGCATTGATCAAGTGATTTTGTTCGTATTTTTTTGAGCAAACGCGAGGTGTTATTGTTCTTTGTTCACGATTAAGCTGACGTTTCGGCGAATTTCGCCTTCTTCAGAGCCGCTTTCTATGAGGTCTCCACTAAGTAGATACTAGATACTTAGTGGAGACCTCATAGAAAGCGGCTCTGAAGAAGGCGAAATTCGCCGAAACGTCAGCTTAATCGTGAACAAAGAACAATAACACCTCGCGTTTGCTTAAAAAAAATACGAACTTAGAGTTTATTTTATCATGATCTTACAAATTCCTAGTTCAAAAAGGTTTGCGCAAGCGCTGTTGTGTCAACGAACTTTCCTAATCTTCTCGAACCTTTTCTAGGTATTTTTATTCATTAGGGTTAAGTAAAAATGTTCCTTCAAGTAAATATCCGAACATCGACAAGTGCATGGACATTTCAGGAAGTTGCGATGGTCGAACGTTTGCTTTTGAGAAGTTCGCTCATCTTCAGGCGATAAACGAGGAGTTCATTCTGGATTCGAGTGTTGACGAAACGATGGAGAACTGTTTGGAAAAATGTCACGAAAGGTTACCCGGCTCACAACAATTTCTCTAACACATTTAGGATCATATCAGTTATGAATGGCTCGTTTTCTTCCGGATTTTCTTCTTGCTATCATATCATGAGTCACAAATATGACCGCCCATTTTGTTGGTAGTTGTGCAACAAGTCTCTTGAATCCTTTTCTGGCCCATTCTACCATTTTCCTTGTCACTTATCATCGGCTTATTGCATAACCAGGTCATCTTTGCTTCTCTTTCGAGATGTGATCTTCTTGTTACTGAAAATTTTTTCTATTATTTTTTTATTTGATTCGTCCTAACGTCTATCGTGCGCAATTTGTTTCCATGCATCCATCCTCCACGAAGGTCGTCCAAGTATTTACGTGTGGCTTCGGTTGCGGCTTAAAGATTTTCTTTTCATCTTGAATGTCGTAGAATGCTGGTCGACCGATTCTCACTAGAGTCCTGAGATAGCTGCGCTGGAGCGTTGCCACTCGGATTGCAGAGAGTGATTTTTTTCCGGAGAAGTCCGTCACCAATTCTCCAACCACGAAGGGCCTGGTGAATTCGGCGCGGGGTCGAACTAACACCGTGCTCGTAATGATCAGCATCACTACCACTGTGCTCTCCTCCCCTAATATTGGAATCACTGACAATGTGTGTATGAGAAGTAAAGTAAAATTTGGCATAATAGAAACAGGAAGTCCATTGCGTCAGTCGTCTACCTGCTCACAAAGTAGAAATGTGCAATAGAATATAGACTTACCTAGTTGAGTTTTTCGGTAGAGAGGTCGAAGACCTCAGCCTAGGTGAACCTGCTGGAAGATAAGACCGACTAGTGCGCATTACTGTTCAAAAATTAAGGAATCATGAAGCATGTCAAAAGATTTCAAGTTTCAGCTATGTCTAGTGTCTCGATTCTAGTTATTAAACTTTGCTACTCAGCTTATCGATAACCCCGCTTAAATTTCTTTAACTTTCCTAGTTTAGTTCAATCTAATTACTTACACATTTTGCTTATAATATGGTTTTATCGTCCTTCAACATCGGAGAATGCTCTTCTTCACAGAGCTTTAGATTTTTTGGTAGCTGTTCAGAAACAGAGCTAAGACCTGTATTAAAAATTTCTGCTGTCATTTGAATTTATCAGAGCTCTTTTTCCAGGACAGATTGTCGAGCTACGCAGTACAGTCACCGAAACGGTTCATGTTTTTTGCTCAGAGCGTCACCGAATACCGTATACAATTTGAGGAAAAGCTTTACCTTTAGTAACGATGTGGATCTTTATGAGAACAACTGCGTCGAAGGTAAGAAATGAAACATCAGGAACGAGGAAAAGTGAAAGGAAGGTGATATGTTGGTGCAGCAGTGGAAAAGTTCGTCTCAAAAACTTTGCTCCACCATCCCTTCAAAATCTTGAGCTTATATCTTTCCGATTTTGAATCGGTAGGGAAAATATCAGTACATAGTTGTTATATAGTTGTTTCTAACAGTTTTACGGTTTTTTTTTAATTTACCCTTTGTTTGAGGTATCTAGGCGATCTTGCTGCCTTCTATAAAATTTCACTCAACAATCTTTTGACGGACGAGTTTTCGATGACTGATGAATTTCTGGTTTACAGTCCCAGTGTCGGCATCTAAATGCAATTTTATGCGATTTGGATCAGCTGGTTTTACTGATTCCTACGACGAAATTGTACCCAATCTTGATAACGTGGAAGAATGTGAAATGGTGTGTCTTACCAAGACGAAAGTAGCTGATCCTTGTAGGTTCGTCAGGTCACGATAGAATCGCTTACGCTAGATTTTTCTTATAATCAAACACTTTTAAATTTTTAGGTCCTATACTTATGACAAATCATCACGTTCTTGTTACATCAGTCACTACGATGGAAGATCGTTTGGGCAAAGTCCACTCAGTAGTCAAAATTCGAATCTCACATATGGTTCACTTGATGACTGCATAGATTGTGAGTATAAAACTAATGTTTTTTAAAACTGATTACAAAAGCCACGCCTTTGAGTCGTGCATGATGGCGAACGAGTCTGCTAGACCTCCAGGCTAGAACTTAGGGAAAATTACTTTCAATAAACAGAATCTTTCCTTTTTTGATGTTTAGTGTCTCGTATATGCAGCGGAGCTTACATCGATAAAAGATTTCTTTGTTAGTCGGAGTTTAGCTGTTTGGTCGAGCTGAGAAGAATATTCATTTCGAAACCGACTTTCTTTAAACCTCGGTGTGACTATTCAATATGTATTCTTTCTTGATAAGCTTGCACGAGGTTGATAATGATATTTATTATCGGCTAACGTTTCGACCGTCTTCGTCTTCCTCAGAGCCGATGATTCGAGTCAATGGTCCATGATTGTTGTTCATCTCGAAAACACCGACTTCTGCACGATGTGCGCAATGATGTATGCCCGGAAAAAACACAAGTTGTTACCACCGGACACTATCATTATATATCCACCAACAGCATCGTGTATAAAAGGGCATCACTGAGTAAGGATGCCTCATTCGAGAAGATGGCTCACTGAGGAAGACCTGACTCGACACGAAGGCGAAGCTGCAACGTCGAGACGAATAACAAGCATGGACCATCGACTCGGATCATCGGCTCTGAGGAAGACGAAGACGGTCGAAACGTTAGCCGAAAATAAATATCATTATCAACCTCGTGCAAGCTTATCAAGAAAGAATACATAATGATCATTTCTTCGAAAAATTGAAGGAGTGACCTTCAGCAGAACACTACCTCTGTTATATGTTTTACCATAGTTCGCTCTGAAGAAAGCTACAAGTAGTGGCCCAATTCAGCAATGGTATGATGCAACCCACTAGGTAAGTAGTAGGGATTATCTATTCAGATATGTAAGGATGTATTTAGATTCAGTCTTGATTTTTTCCGATGGTTTCAGCTTGGCTCCAATATTCTTTCTTTGTGATCGTGGCGATTTCTTAGTCATTGTTTTTTTAGTCATATTCCATCTGGAAGCCTAGCTAGGAGTAAACTAATACCTGAATCGACCACCATGTCTGTGGTAGTGGCGACCTGGAGCAGACTCTGGCTAGGCTGACCTCGGTACTCCAGGGAAACAATAGCTAAAGCAGCAAAATTCGAAAAATGGAGATTATCCTGAGGCCCGCAGAACTAGTGAGAAAGGGCCATTCAAGTATTATCACAATGGTGCTGAGATATTTGCAAAACTCCGGACCGCTGGGATCTGCGGTGGGACCGAAAACGCTATTAGCCTTTCCGGGAACTAATGCGTTCACCACCAGATCAATCCCATTGACGGGTGCTTGCTGATAGCTCCTATAGGTCAATATCACAGCTGAGAGACAGGCGAAAGAAAGGCCTCACATAGTGTGATGGTGAACGCATTAGCCCCGGAAAGGGTAATAGCGTGTTCGGTCCCCACCGCAGACACGAGCGGTCCGGAGTTTTGCAAATATCTCAGCAACATTGTGGTTGTATTTCACTTAATACCTTGCCGTTAAAAATAATAGACGGTGAATAAAAATTGACAACATTATCCAAGTATTGTTTTTCACTCTGTACTACCTTGTTATTCAATTTTAGGCAGAGGCAACAAAATTTCTTCGTGTTGTTTCTTTAACACTGCAAAAAAAGTCTATGAGAGCAGGTTCTATCGAAGGGTTTAAGAAAATACACACTTCCCCAAGTAACAAACTACAAGAAACGAGTAGTAAATGTACTCCTTGAAAACGTTATAGTGAAGAGTTTCTTTTTGTTTTAAAGATGAAGAAAACGCTTTCAGTCGCTTTGAAATGTCGGAATGACGAGCTTGAAATCCATGGATCATCAATGCGATTGTTTAGGTAGGAATAGAGCTAATTAATAGTCTATTTGCTTATGAATCAATTACTTGTTCTTAAACATAAATGCATTTAACTTCCGCAGAAGATTCTGCCATTTCTAGTGGTTTTATGAGGACAAAGCACCGAAAAAACACCATATGTGAGAGAAAAATTGACTCATTGTACGAGTTCAAAGTTCTGATGCCATATGAGGAATGCGGTATCAACAAGACAGTTCGTTTCACTTTATTCCTTTCACTGTTTTTCTATTTGTCAGATCTCTTCTTGTTTTGGTTCACCAGTTTCTGCAACACCTCCCATTGGTTTACCACCACATCGTGGTTGGGAGGTATTTCTGGGTGTCGGACTACGATGTACAGCAGGAGATTCGTCCCATGGCAGGGTCTCCAAGGCTGAGAAGGAGACTGGCGTTTTCGTCAGAAAGCCCAGCTAAGAGTAAACCAATACAATGATCCACCAGCATCCTGGTCTCAAACCAGTTGCACGGTGGCAAATCTTCCTCCATCCACAAGGAGCGCGGCTGCCTGTGATGATGCCGATCTGGGACGGACTTTGGCCAGACTGAGTTCGGGACTCCATGAAACAATGGCTAATCCAGCAGAACTCCGAAAAGTGGAGAATTTGCTGGGTCCCGCACAACCAGTCCAAGTATCCAAGTATCCAATTTCTACAATAGGGGGTTGATCCAACTGCTTTGTAGAGTCCTTTCGGACGACAGATTCCAAAATACTTCTATTCTAGATGCTACCGTATCCATCGTACAACGGTTTAGTGCATGTGAAAGAAGGCAGTACAAATCTTGTAACAATTCGTGATAAACTCTTACAGGTACAACTATAGTTAGTCCATTGCACTTTGAAATACATGCTATGAAAATTGATTATCTTTTACAAAGCAACTTTGTAAACTGTGGTTTGTTGTTAGCAAGAATTCTATTTCCGGTTTCTTATAGGTTCAGTGCCGTATACATTCACAAGTGGAAAGCAATGATTTCAAGTTAATGGCTCAAATGGACATTCAGGACTCAAATCGAAGCGAACGAGTGCTGTAAGTTTAAATTCATAATTCGAATACTCAACCGCTTTGTACTTTCCTGATTTTCCTGCGGACGAGTTAGCACACTTGGAACTTTTTCTCGAGCGAAGTAACACACTATGCACTCATTTTCGGACGAGCTAGCAAGTAACATCTCGTTGTGACTCAAGTAGTAATTGATGGGGAGTGCGTGCAAACATCAGTTAAAACTCTCCAGTACTTTATACGCCTTTTCCATCTTTCTATGCAAAAATCGTGAAAAAAATGAAGCTGTGAAAATTTTTGGCAACAGTTCTTGGGAAATCTATGAGACAAATGAAATTGGAATTAGGGTAGGGTTATATTGCGTCTATTCTTAACATTCTTGACAATAGAAAGTCTTCGAATTTTACCTTTAGTTCAGTTTCACGATTTACTTTCTACGATTTAACAAATTTCAAATAAATACAGTAATAAATCTAGATTTAGAAGGGCGCATGTGGCGCAGTGGTCTGAGGCATCCCTCAACACAAACGTGGAATCGATCCCCGCGCCCATGACCCACCAAGCATTCCGGCCCTCCGGGATCGGCAAATTGGCAGCACTAGCTAGATACATTCCCAGGCCACTGCGAGTCATTGTAAAGGCCAGATATTCATTCGATTACTTCCAAGCGATGCTTAATGAAGTTGAATGCATGGCGCATCTCTCAGGGTTTGATCAACGCCGAGAGCTTTATTCTTTATTATTTATCCTTTAAATCTCAATGCACAAATGTGGTGTAGTAATAGAGAACGTGTTATAAAAAATATTCAAGAGCAATAATGCGATAGAGATATGTGTGAATAAATCGGTACAGGTAGATAACTAAAACATGCCAACAAAACTATTCGACAACGCTTGTGAGTCATATTGAAATCATGCTGTCTTCAAAAACCCATCTGGACCAGACATGCCAGTTATTATGCCGAATCAGCTCAATATAAATCAGTAGAAGCTTTCAACCCTTTGCTCTCTACGCGGGAATTTTTTTTAGTACAGTAAGTTGTATTTTAGGACGAATAGTATACTGTATACACCCACTCGTCCACCTCATCAACGTTATTCGCTTCGCGTGCTGAATAGTGACGGAATCGAAACAGACGTCGTTCGCGCAGGAGAACAAGGATGGCTTTCACTTAACATAAACGGGGTAATGAGAATTGGATATATAAATCTATATGGTCGATAACGGAGTACAATGCAAACACAAAAGTAGTTAGTACTACAACTTGTGGATGGAATTGCTGTTGCTGCAACTGATATTACTGTGTAAAAGCTATCCTTTTAGGGTTCACAGAGTGAAATTTTGGTGTCAAATATGATTGCAAGAGGCGTCAACACTAGGAAGAGCATCAAACTAATCGGAGATGATGGGTTAGTTGAAGGGAAAAATCCTTGCCTTATAGGATTCGGCTGCAACCTAATGTTCTGTTCTCTCCCTTCGTCACTGATTGAATACTGATAGAGTGTGACTTTCCCTGGAGTTCTTGTTCTTGATTTTTTATATAAAACTAGGACAACTGCATTATAGTCTTCCGAATTTTTCACCACAGATAGTCATCGGCTCTAGGAATGAAGAGAAATTTGGTTCTTTTTCACTCGGACTATTCTAGAGCAACAGAGATTCCTCTGACAATGATTCCTAGAATTAATCTACCAACCTCTCGATGTCTTTAGTAATTCCCATAGAAAAAACTACATTGGAAAACACCGTATTACTACATTTCCCTTCGTGGTGTTTGATCAGTATGGCAAGAAGGAAATTTTATCACTGTTATTGTCATTTTCCAACGTTAGGGTTAGCAAGTGCTAGTTAGGTATCAGTTAACCGTAACAGCCTTAACCTTAGCTAAGACCAATGAAATTCGGTTTTTCGTAACCCTTTGCCAAGAGATCGCACATCTTCATCAGTACTTCCTGTTGTCTCTTTTCATTTTGGGCTTTTCCTCGTAATGAATACTCCATAGCGAAATCTATTTTTAGGCTTACTCGTGAATTCATGGAGCTAAAAGTTACAATACCCTGGCCTGGTAGTCTTGTCATTTTGTTTTGGATGCTTTTATTTTGTGCAAATTTATAATTTCTTATACTTTTCAGCTGTGTTATTCACGATTCTGTCATTGGAATTAGTCGAGTGTCACCACAAGAAATTCGCTATAAAATCAATTTTGGTGGATTTAATGAGAAAGTACGGTTTTTAAGCTAAACGTACTGTAGGAGTTTCATGAATTTCCCGTTGCGATAATGAAGCAGTATCTATTTAGACACAGCTCATCTATCAGGCTTTAGTAGAAACGTGTTCGTTTGACTGCTCGCCGAAGTGCAATGAGAAGCTATGGTTAGATGCCGCCGCCAACCAAATGTAAGAAGTATCTAATTCGCCCGTAGTTCTCTGAAAGCTAAGTAAGCCAGAGCGCAGTAATAACTTGTATGAAAATCCTCTCGATAAGCTGAAAGATTTCTAGAGAAGAAGACGATAATTCGATTCGTATACGTCGAACGATTGGACTTAGGCAGCTCGAGCTTACCCAAGATATCTATAAGGTAGGATAAATTTCTGAATTAAAGAATTTGTGGTACAGTCGTCGATGGATGGTGAATGTTATACTTATTGTGAATGCGCAGTAGCGGATCATTTTGCAAAAGGGGTATCTAGTGAAGTTCAGCATCACTTCGCAGTTCTTTAATGATTTTTTATATGACCCGTCTTCACGTCTACTGTGCGGATCTCAGCACTTCTCACATTCGATTCGTTTCCTCGCATCCATTGTCCACGAAGATCTTTTAACTTTATGTGTGGCTTAGGTTTTCTTGCTGCTTGAGGATTTTCGTTTTATCTTGAATGTCGTAGAATGCTGGTCGAGTCGATTCTCCTTGAGTCCTGGGTTAGACGCTGGAGTGTTCCCAATTGGATTGAAGAGAGTGGCCTTTCTCCCAGACAAGTCCAATACCAATTCCCGAACCCGGAGGGATGAGAGACTTGGTTGGCGCGGGGCGGAATCGGGTTAGCACCATGCTCGTGATGACGGAAATCACTACCGCTGTGCTATGCGCTCCTTCTTTAATGAATAGACGATTAAAATAAAGCCTAATTAGGTAGATTCACACAAATCAGCTCTTATTTTGGTGATTTAGAAAAGGATTTATTTTTATACCACTTAGCCTCTATTTAAGGTACATGGTAGCCGGATTACAGTACTCGCCACTCTCAGTTCAACACCTGTAACTGAGTCTTTCAAGTTTCAAAATGAACGTCTACTGACATCTAAAGGTCAACAACTGCTTCGTAATGATGAAGTACACGTTAGTGCAGTCAGTTCCTTTTCTTTGATAACCTTTCCGTTTCCATTTCATTTTATTAGTTTTCCTTCCCTTGTGTACACTGTTAATTAAAACATAATGATGCTGAGATATTTGCAAAACTCCGGACCGCATGTGTATGCGGTGGGGAAGAAAGCGCTATTACCCTTTCCGGGGTTAACGGCTAACGCGTTCACCACCACACCATGCGGGTTCCTCATTTCGGCTGTTTATCAGCTATTTCTATCCATCAGTGCCATTAGCAATCTCCCATCATCGGGATTGTTAATTGATAGTACAAACATATCTGTGAAACATTGATGAAATACTCATTCCTAGTCATTCCACGAGAGTCGATGAACAGGCCAAATTCGTATCCATCTCTTCATCAAATTCTTGGGTGCAACATAACTCAAGGCGGTTTGATAACGCTGTGGAAAACTCTTTCCACGTTATTTTGCTCGTACTGTAGAAATTTTGGTACACCAAAATTTCGCTTAAGCGTTGTTGCTTTGGCAGATCCACAAGATAAATTAAACTCCTCCGAGAGAGATAATCTGGAAAGATTTTGTTTTCAGTAAAAGAGCAAACGGGTAACTTGATAAATATCCTTCAGATAGAAACTCGTTCGATTTCGTCAGCATTTGAGCAGTGTTTCTCGGACGACATTACCTGCCTATTCACAGTAATCCTGGCTTCCATTCAAATATTTCTTCTCGCTTCGTGTATATGCGTTGTATATTGCTACATACAGGTGGGTTAGCTAAGCCAGTTGATCTTTGTTTAACGTCTCAGAGTAGTAGAATGTAAACTTGATGTAGATAGTCCTTTATTAATATGATCGTATGGGAAATAAGATCGGACCGAAAAGAAAATTGCAGACATTACTATTCAGATGAACCTAATGTAGGAAATCTCTTTAAACAACTTACTTAGTTGATACTTGATACTTAAATGGCCCGTACTCACTGGTTGTGCGGTCCCAGCATAACCGTCATTTTTCGGGGATTTGTTGATTAAGTTATCGTGCTTCCTTGGAATCTCAAGGTCAACCTGGCCAAAGTCTGCCCTAGGTTCACCACCACAGGCAGTAGCAGCCGCTTTGGATCAGAAGATTTGCCACCATGCGGACTTTGACACCAGGACGGTGGTGGATTCTGGTATTGGTTTACTCTTAGCTAGGCTTCTTGATAAAAACGTCTGACTCCTTCGTAGCTTGGGAAAACCTGCCAGCGAGATGAATCTCCCCGCTGTACATCGCAGCCCAACACATAGGAACACCTCTCAGCCGCGATGAAGCGGTAAACCGTTGGGAGACTTTAAACAACTAGAACACGGTAATATATTTAGAAGCATCACATAGAGTTTTTAGCAATGGCGCTCATTTCGTGGTTTCCATGAATTGACTTCAACACAAATACAGTACGAGTTGAACGGACAACCAAAACTGAATGCAACTCAAATGGACTAACTTCACCTAGAAACATCAAGCCGGCTATGCTAGATGTGCTTCGATTTCACTTCATGCTCTTAAATATACAGTTTGTACTTATGTACTGTACTGTACTTAATATAGTGTTTGTACTTCAACATTAGTGACTAATTTAATTAAAATCTTTCCACTTCCAACTACGGGTACTTTCTCTTTCTTTGTAAGGTTTCATGTATATGTCTAATAGTAATAAAATTGTGGATCTTTGGATCACAGATGAACACAAACTAAAAAACTAACAATGATTTGCAGTGAGATGCAAAGGCATTGGGAAGCTAGCTTGAGCTCTCTGTTGTGCTATATTAACTTGTGCTTTCCATGTGCATTTAATGACATTTATACCTAAATGAGCGATTAGGTAGCACATCGGTTAGAGGTGGCATACAATACGTATGTGGTCACTATTTCGATCCCGCGCATCATGCTAATGAAGCCCGTTTCTCTTCTGACGTCGGAAAATCGATACCAGACTAAAAAACAATCGCTTGATACATGGGTCTCCGGAGGTGATTGTATGGTCCAAATATAAATTGAATCGTCTTTGCGGCGCTACGAATGGAGTCGAATGCATGGCGCTTCCCTGTGAGATTGAGTAACTCCCAACGCTTTATCTCTGATCGTTATGTTTTATAAGGAGTTCATATAAGCCGTAGAGAGAGATAACTAAAAGGATAAGAAATAACCTACTTACTTAGATACTTGGACGGTCCGTCCTCACGAGCTGTGCGGATCCCAGCACATATGCCATTCGTTCCTTTCTCTCGCAATCGTAATCTATGGTAGTGGTCTTGTTCGAGCATGGTAGCGCGTGCGAGTCTCATAACGTGATCTGTAAAACAACTGCAGCTGTGGGTATAGCTGATTAACTTTGTTTATGAACACGCCCTCCCAACGTGTAGGTGGCCGTCCAAGGGTACGTTTGCATTCTCTTGGAGTCCACTGTACTGCTCTTTTCGTCCATCTGTCGTCTGTTCTTCTCATTATGTTACCGGCCTATCTATGTTTCGCTGTAGCGAAGTATATTTTCCCGGATCTCGAAGAAGTGACAGACTTCGAGGGTCAGGACTTCGTATTCCGGCTACATATTGAGAGTGCCGGTTATATTTCAGAAGACATCGCTCAAGCGCTCTGTGAGTAGTTCGAAGCATTCTTGACGTAGTTGAAGTATCAACCCACGGCTTTACAGCACAACAGAGCGCTGGAAGGACCGCAAAATCAAAGAGATAAGCGCGAATTTCCGGATCCTTCAGTTGGTCGGTGGCTTCTTAGAGAGGCCTGAATGCGGCCCAAGCTGCTCTCCTTCTTTTATCCAGTTCCTTCTTCATGTTGTTTTCCATGTTTATTGATCGCCCAAGGTAAACGTACGAATTGGTCTCTGCAATAAGAGAGCCATCCAATTCAATTTTTTCGCCTTCGCACCATGGGTTTCTCATGACCGGGTCTTCTTCCGATTTATGCGAAGTCCGATCTTTTTCCCCGCTTCGTTGAGCTCTTTGATCATCTACTCTGCTTCGCTAGTACTTCTTGAGAAGATGACAATGTCGTCGGCAAAACGAAGGTTTGATAGAAATTTTTCATCAATGCGTATGTTTTTCTCATCCCAATCAAGTGACTTCATTACCCACTGCAGTGCGGCACAGAACAGCTTTGGTGATATTGTGTCGCCCTGTAGAACCCCTTTTTCTATGGGTATTGTAAGAGGTCGATGGAAAAGCCGTATTTTCGTAGTGCAGCTCCGATAACAGTCGGACAGAGTCCTTATGTAGGACGTGTCCACTCCCTACTCGACGAGCGCTGATAGGATTGCATTCATTTCGGCACTGTCAAACGCTTTCTCAAAGTCGACAAAGGTTAGGACTAGAGGCAAGTGGTATTTCCGACGAACTTCGATGACCCTGGACACTGTTTAGATGTGGTCCATACAGCGAAATCCTTTTCTAAATCCTGTTTGCTCGACTGGTTTCACCTCATCCAGTGTCGTTGATAGGCGCGAGAGGGTAATCCTCGTGAAGAGCTTGTAAAGTACACCTAACAAGCATATGGAACGATAGTTACGAAGATTCCCTCGGTCTCCTTTCTTGGGCAAGATGAACGTGCGCAACGTCCTTTACTGGTCTGGGATTTTTTCGCTTTAAAGGCAGGTTGTCATAGGGTTTGCGAGAAGTACATGTCAGTCGTGGCTTCCAGTTCTAAGGAAGTCGGCGGTAATATTATCGGGTCCTGGAGCTGTGCCTCTTTTTGTGCTTTCTATCGCAACTCGAACCTCCGACGGAAGAATTCCAGGTAGCTTCCCTCCAGCGGGGATATTAGGGCCCGGGGCGGAGATTGTGGAACGGAAAGGGTTGGTGTAGAACGTTTCCCCTATTAATTCCATATAATAGCGGAATGTTTTGACGATCCCACCTTCGTTGATCAGGGCTTGCAGCAGAGCATTGTAATCACACAAGTCCTGACGGCATTTTCTCGGACTGCTTCTTTTCTCTGCTGCTTCCAATATTTTCTTCTGCTTGTACCGTCGTAGATCTTCCTGCAAAGCTTTGCTGAAGCTGGTATTTATTACTAGCCATGTTAAACGTGTTGCAGTAAGATCAAGCTTCAGTTTTCTTCCCTTTCATGCAACTCCTTAGCAGTGATGGAGAGACGACCCGATCTTCTTGTTTGAGGAACTGAGACGAATTCGGCACAGCTTTTCAGTCCTTCGACAAGGAGCTCGTAGTCCTCGGTCGGGTCTTCTTTAATCTGCCAGTCACGTTTGGACAGGATTTCGTTCAGAATGTTTTCTTCGTATGCAGCTAGACCTTTTCCTCGTGGTCGATGAAGAGAGTTCTTTTCCAGCTTGCGGTTGAATCGAATCTTCGGGCGAAGAAGGAGGTGATCGTAACCAGTACAGAATGACGAGACTACCGTCGTGTCAAGTAAGCACCATCTTCTGTTTGTTAGAATATGGTCGATTTCTGCATGAATCATGCCGTTATGGAAGACGTGCTGCTGACTGGAGTACTGCGATGCGGTTCCCATTCCCATTTTTTTCTCTTAATCCAAAATTTCCGATCCTGTATTTGCTCTCGTTGGCCTTTTCTATTCTGGCGTTGAAGTCTCCAACAACAAATTTATGATATGCTTTATCACTGCGGATGACTTCCTCCAACTGATAGTAGAACGCATTTAATTCGTACTCATTAGCTGCGTCGGTCGGTGAGTAGCAGTTGATGGCAGTGATCTTCTTATGATGCGACAGTTGAAGACGGAGAACGGCTATGCGAGGAGAAAGGATCACGTTTGAGTTAATATCACGAAATGGACAATGGACGGGTGGACGACAAAGCCTACGCCACCGATATTTCGTGACGGGACCTTTTCTCCACGGATCACAAGGGTTCCGTTGTTTAGTTGGCGTATGTCGATCTTCTTGATTTTTGTTTCTTGTAATGCGGCCACATGAAATTTAATGCAATCTGCAGCTACAACAAGGGCGTGAAGATCGGCGTTTGTGGAGAGTGCTCTGGTATTATACGTGCTCACTAAGAAACAATCTCCATGGCGTGTCGTGCGTGTGTTCGTCAGAACCGGTTCCAATGACGTCCTGCGAAACTAGAGATTTTCTGGCCTCTCACCGGTCGTCCGACCGCCTGACGTCATAGACGGGACCACCCAGTGTGCGGGGTACTGAGGCTGACCTATGGCTGTTCGTGCAATTTGGCCTTTCCTGGAGTCCTTACGCAACGTTACAAGGGCTTATCCGGATCTTCACCACAATGTGGATCAGAGGGAGGTGTCGAAAACGTCTTGAACTCGGGTAATTAATCCCAAGAAATAACACTTGGAGTAAAAAAAAGGATTCTGCGCCAAAGTGAAAAAACATACAATAACGAAGGTAGTATATCTGTGAAAAGATAATGCCAAATGAAGGTGTAAGAAATATAAAGGATAAGGATAGAGCTTTCGGCGTTGATCTATCTCTGAGGCACGCGCCATACATTCGACTTTGTTGGTGGTCGAATGCATATCTGGTTTTTTCAATGACTCGCGGTAGCCTACCGATGTATCGAGCCAGTGCTGCTTTCCCCCAGACAGGTCTGGTACCAAATTGCCGGTCGTAGAGGAATGGAAGGCCTGATGGGCCTAGCGCAGGGAATTGATTCCAAGTGTATTACAGGGCCCCTCCGACCACTGTGCTACACGCGCTTCTTAATTCTTTTCTTTTACTCAATTAAAAAAGTGGAAAACATACGAGGAGAAATTATTTCACAACTGAATAACACTAATTTATATTCAGCGTTGAAAGAAGTGCATCTTTTCTTGCCTTTTAAAACCAAACGTCGAATTAGAATTTAAAATGCATGGTTGAGGATGGTGCGACTAACGGAGGTGGAGAGACACTAAAGGCATTGTAGCACAGTTAATTCTAAATATGATCCTATGCAATTCAAATGGTGCTGGCAAAACTGCTCACAAGTACATGGGACCACAAAATCATGTGGTCCATTGATATATTCGCGATGATGCCCAGCTTTCTTGTCGCACAAGCTGCGAACGAATTGAGTGCAAGTGGTGTTTTCGACTGCTCAACGAATAACCCCGCCCTTTTGTTGTGACATTCTTCCTATAAACTGACTTTGCGATCTGTCTCGATACTAATTCTTCCACTTCTCACATGATGCATATCCTCTATGTTTTTCTACTATACCACATATCATTCCATATTTTCGGAGCGTTTCCAACCCTTGTAGGTGATAAAAAGGTCGTCCTCCATCCGATCACGCTGCTGTCAGTCTTTGGAAGTCAGTTTTGTGAATTACATTGAGTAAGTCATAATCTTGGTATTTTTATGTTTGCCCAATTCGCACAGAAAATAAGATTTATCGTAGCACTTAGAAATGGGACCACAGGCACTTGTCATATTATCCTAAAGAGATGTCTTTAAATGCCGAACTTCACCATTCACGGTAAAGTGGAATAGAAGTTCTAACTTGTCGGAG